ATCACAAAAGCAAATGTTATTCTCATATAGAACTGATTTGGCTGTTAATGAATTAGTAGCTATTTTCTCACGATAAAAAAATGAAGCAACTATGTGTGTAGGCTTATACTGATTTTTTTTCAGATTCTACTGCAGAGTTCCATACAGTTTTAGTGGTCTACAACTCATGGCAAAATCAGAGTATAATTTAAATTTAGTAATATCCCAGAGAATGGTGTGCAGTAAGAGTGGAAATGCTATGACTGTTATCAGCATAAGCCGTTATAGCCGTAAGAAGATCTTACCTTTGTGAATACTCTGTATGTAATGAACGTCTCAATGGCTGTAATATGGCTTTCAGGATCATCAACTGTAATGAAGAGATCTCTTAATTCTGATTCATCTTCAAATTTATACTGGTTTATCATTGATGAGGGGGATATTGACATTGAAGGACTGAATGAGTTTACCTCAGCCAGTGATGTATTCTACAGATAAGACATGAGAACATCCATATCAATACATCTTTATATACAAACATCCATGCAAATACATGTCTCGGATGGTAAAATGGAAAGTTTTTAAATAGTCTGACAAAACAGATAAATCACAAAGCAGAAGAAAGAATTACATAGTACATGGCAAATCTATTATCCTTTTCAGTATTTGCTTCAGTAAGGATGTAAGAAATGAGATTTATTCTAAAGCTGATGAAAGAGCAAAATGCTACCATTTAACAAGAATGTCACACGTAGCTAGAAAGAGCTATGGAAAGAGCTAGAAGGAGCTAGGCAAAGGAAACTTTGGCCTCCTCAGGGAACTGATTGGCAGAGTTCCACAGGATGAAGCCCTGGAAGGAAGAGGGGCCCGAGAAAGCTGGCGACCATTCCAGGATCTTCTCCTCCAGGCCTAGAAGCGATGCCTCCCAATGAAGAGGAAGTTGAGTAAAAACGCCAGGAGGCCTGTATGGATGAACAAGCAGCTCCTGGACAAACTGAGATGCAAAAAGGAAGCCTGCGGAGGGTGGAAGCAGGAACAGGTAGCCTGGGAGGATTACAGGGGAGTTGTCTGAGCGGTCAGAGATCAGGTAAGTGAAAGCCCTGACAGACTTCAACAAAGCTTATGACAGGGTGTCCCATGACATCCTCATAGCCAAGCTTAGAAGTGCGGACTGGATCACTGGGTG